ATATAATCAATGCATTGAAATATTTTAAAATTTAAATAAAAATAAATTAAATTAATTAAATGCAAGACACACATCAATTGTTTAAGATTGTCCACATATCAAAATAATACACCATCCACCTTGGATTTTTTCTTTTTTTGCCAAAAACTTTAGCTTTTATATATATTTATATAAGATTATTTTTTTTAATTTCAAACTTTTAATCTCTTATCATGTGATTTAGAATCAAACACATAAAATAGATCATTGATATTTGTATCTTATACTTATGATTTGTGTACTATTGTTAGTTATAATAATACCTTATCATATGATATAGAATAAAATTATACAATCTCTTAATATAGACTTATATAATGTGATTTAAAATAAAATATATAAAAAAATTGATATGCTTATATGCTAATAATTTGTATGTTATTATTACTTTAAAATAATTTCTTACCAAGTGATATTGAATAAATTATACAATCTCTTAAAATTATATATCGTATTTAAAATATATTATTGCTTTTAATTTCAAACTTTTAATCTCTTATAATATATTCATGTAATTTAAATTAGTTTGATCAATAACCATAATATTGAATGGATATTGACCTTCTCAATTCTTTCTCAAGTAAAAAAAAAGTTTTTAAATTTATTACAAAAAGCTACAAAGAATACTATATATGTATGTGTGAATTATATTAAAGTATCATGCATGTTAAATTGTCAATGCATTAATAATTGTATATTAACTTAGGTAAAAACATCAAAAAAGTTCTCAAACAAAAATTTAATAATTAATTAAATTCTTAATATTTTATTATAATCAATTAAATTCTTAATTTTTTATTTTGAATCAATTAAACCCTTAAATATCTATTTTCACTCAATTGAATTTATAAATATTTATTTTTACCTCAATAAAGCCCTCGATTAATTTAAAATTGTTATTGATGGTTAATTAATTTTCATCTAATAAGGATTTAATTGATGAAAATAGATGTTTGAGAATTTAACTGATTACAATAAAATAATAAAGGCTTAAATAATTATTAAATTTTTGTTTGAGAATTTTTTTGACCTTTTAACCATTAACTTACTATAAACTTTTTATTTATTTAATTTTAGTATCTTATATTTAGAATTTCAAAATCTTATTATTTTAAGTATAATTACGGATACAGCATAATTAACTACTTGAATTTCATAATTATTATTATGTTTCATTAAACTAATTTTTTTAACCAATAATGTTTCATTAAATTTGTTAATTAAAATTTTAAGTAAATAGTTTTAAGATATAAATTAATATTCATAGCAAACTATTTCAATATTCTAAAATTGTTTCACATGGTAAAACATGTAATAATAAACGTTATTTGTCAAAGTTCAAATTTTCTCACAAATACGAAATGGGTTGTGAGTTCGGCTGACCACTACTACCCACTTAAAATCGAATAGGTTCGGGTACCCGTATTACTCATTCCAAAAGTTAATCGGTTTCAGGTATAGGGTACCAAAAAAGTGTTGTTTGAACCCAACATGAGTAGTGACCATTTTGCCCGAATCTGACAATTTTTTTTTTGTTTGGGTTCTTTCAGTATCCGAAAGTTACTTTGGATCCCGACTAATCAAAAGTTGAGTCGGGTCGGTCCCCATAAAGTGATAAACTCTTTTAAGCCTATTTTTTTTTTCATTCATAAGACTTGAAATTAAGACCTTACTTAAAGAGAATTGAGCTTTTTATCATTCGAACCAACAAGTGTTGGTGACAATTATCCCATTATAAGATACTCGAACCCGATTTAATTGGATCAAGTAGTGTTTGGTACTCATTAAGTGTTATCCATTTACATCCCTAAAAAGTGTTATATCTTTGTCGAGTACTAACTATTAATATAGATTGCTATAAACCACATTTGAATATAGAATATTATTGTAATTTCATGAGCAATAAAATTCTTGAATTTGGCCAAAAAAAATAAAACTACAATTTATAAACATTAGTACGATCGTGCTTGTACATATTTTTTGAAACATCCAATTTATTAATACAGAGAAAGTAGTATGGTGATTTAAGTCACAAACATACTTAAAAACTTAGATTAAGCTAAACAAACACTTGTAACATACTTGAAAATTTGAAACTATATCACTAACACAACTAACTCGACCAATATTCCAAGGGCAAACATGTTAGGCAAAAAAGCTTCAGTATAATCAAGCCAGTAAAAGCAAAATCAAACAATTAATCAATCATACAATAGATAATAATTTAATGTGGTTCAGTCCAACTGACCTACGTCCACGAATGAGAAACAAGATCCACTAGTTATAGAGAATTACAAACATACATCAAAACATATCAACCACTCAACAATCAATACCCATAGACCGTTTTAATTTTCACTAGTCCTATGGAGTATTTTTAACCCAAACAAACACATCCCATATACACACTTTCAACACAAACACATACCCATATGCACCCATACATCATACCTATGTGAACCCTTTTAATCTCTTCTAGTCCACTCTCAAGCATTCAAACATACACACCCATAAGATGTAAATCCTCAGTACTCCTATGGGGTGTCTATCCCATAAAATTCTACAACTCTTTTACATCTTTTTCTCATACTTAACCTTATAGAGATTTTACCTATTTATAAGTATACAAACTTGCCTATTAAGAATTCTTTTTCTTTTAGAATTCTTCTTCTGCAAGTCAAACTTGTCTATTAAGAATCTTTTTCCTTTTAGAATTTTTCTTTTGCAAGTCTTCTTGTCCATTAAGTAATATCTAACAAATCCTAAACAAATCTCTTATGGGATTTGAGTCACTATTCTTAATAATCTCTATCTTGAGTCAAATTCTATCAAATCATCTGTTTTTATGCTAGACATACTTGGCTTCACCTATAATGAAAGTCTCACAATCATCTTCTTTTGTGTGTCTTCATGCCTCACACAAATCGATCCTCAAAATACGAATTCAAACTTCTTTCTTGAATCGAGCTCTTCTAAGCTTACCTCTTCCCATGTCTCGAACCATTAGCTTTTTTCACGTCTTGAAACTTCAATTCTGATACCACTTGTTAGGCTAAAAAGCCTTAATTCAATTATATCAACGGAAACATAATCAAACAATTAATTAATCACATAAGAGACAACAATTTAACATAGTTCGATCCAATTGACCTACGTCCATGGATGAGAAACAAGATCCACTAGTTGTAGAGAATTAAAACATACATCAAAACATATCAACCATTCAACAATCAATACCCATAGATCTTCTTAATCTCCTTTAATCCTATGGAGTATTTTCAACCCAAAAAACATATCACATGTGTACCTATCAACACAAACATATACTTATATGCATCCATACATCATACCTATGTAGATCTTTTCAATCTCCTCTAGTCTACTTCTAAACATTTAAACATACACACCTATAAGACGTAAATCTCTAGTACTCTTATGGGCTATTTATCCTACAAAATACTATAATTTTCTTACATATTTTTCTCATACCTAACTTTGTAGATACTTCACTTATTTATAAGCATACAAACTTGCCTATTAAGAATCTTTTTTCTCTTAGAATTTTTTTTCTGTAAGTTTTTATGTTCATCAAGTAATATCTAATAAATTTCAAATAAATCTTTTATGAGATTTGAGTCACTATTTTTAACAAAATAAACATGAGACTAACAACATTAATCTTCAACAATTACAAAATCTAATCACCAATGCCTATTGGTCTGAGTGGTAAAGAACTCAGTTTTTCTTTAAGTAAAATCTCGATTTCGAGTTTATGAATAAAAAAAATAGGTATTGGGAGAGCTTGCCCCTTTTATAGGGTTCGATTCAGCACAACCCAAGAATAATCGAAGCCCAAAGTGACTATTGGACATCGAAGGGTCTTAGACAAAAAAAGATTACAAAATCTAATCTAATTCATAAGAATCTTACCCTATAGCATTTGTATATAGATTTTTCCAATAATTTTAAAAGTTATTCTCATATTCACCTGGTACAAATATTATTCCAACCCATATCATAAGCTTTTGAAATTTGATATCATAGTTTTTTTTTTTTTTGCAAAGATATAAAAAATTGACCACAATTTTGTTTAAAGAAAAGTAAACAAAATTACAACATTTATAACGTTAGTCAAAGGTAAAGTTATAGTACCTTATCGAGACTTTTCAAGATTACGATATAAATAATAGTTTTCCACTTAATGGATTAAAAATAATTTGTAAACTATTGTGTTTAATATAAATTTATTATTATAAATATAATATTAACTAGGCCTAAAGTGCTCAAAGGTGTATTTGGATGTAAAATTTTAAGGATGGATTTCATTTATATAAAGACTTTCAAAATCTAAAATAAACTTACCTTGGCAAAATTAAAAATAAAATTGTTAAAATCCTAAAAATTTAAATAAAAGATTTTGGAAAAGTTTAAATTCTTTTTTCAAAATTTAACTCAAGTGAATTTCTTGATTTTGTAGTAAGATAGAAACATTTATTATGTATTTTTTACAACTTTTATTTCTTTCAACTCTAATTACAAAAGAAACTCATTTTAAAAATTAATTTTTATTCTTACATATTATTAGTAACATTTGTCTATTTTTACAAATTCAATAATACTCATATTACATATTTTTATCGATTCTTTAGATTATTTTATTCATAACATAATTAATTTTTATTATAATTATTCTCTTATCTTATCAAATTCTAAATATTAGAAATTTTTTACGAAAAAAATACTTATATAATACAACTACAAATGTTGTTATTTTGAATGGTTACATTTTAAAATGCTTTCATTTTAGAAATTTTATAATTTTAAAAATTCTCATTTAAACACACAATCGTTAACCAAATTCATTAGTTGAAATGATTTAAAACTTATGCCACGTGGTAGTTTATACTTACTCAAGGATTTGGTGCACCTTAGCCGTCAGTAACATCAGTAAAGCCCTGCTAGTCCAGAAGTACCAGAAATGTTTTAAGCCGGTTACAGTTACGAGCGGCCGAACGCCTATATATCTTGAAATTATTGTTTTTTTCAACGCCGAGAAAATTCAGTATCTCGGAAAAAAAAAAACGCTTTCCCAAGGAATTGCCAAAAAAATTCCTCATGTCATTATTACGCACTTTTAAAGAAACACTAAAGCCCTGTAAAACCCCGTGTTTTTCATCATCATATTCGCAATCTTCGTTATCCCAAGAAGAGCCTGAACCAACAATAGTAAACCAGCGGAAACCCCCCAAATCCTCGCTTTCACGGCAGCTCCAACGCCTTGAACAAGATTATTTCCCTCCAAAACAAGAATCGCTTTTCCAAAACCCTAAATACACGCAAACCCAAGTCGAAAACAATTGTGATAATCCAGAAGAAGAAGAAGAAGAGGAAGAGGAGGAAGAAGTAAAAGAATTTGGGAGACCCGAATTTGATCGCGTTCAATTTGAAGATACGGGTCCTTATGAGCCATTGGTATTATCTTCTGATGGAGAATTTCCAGTTTTACAGGTCATTAATTTATAATTTAATTGCTTTTGTGTTAACATTTGAGTCTATTTTGAGATTTGTTGCAGTAATTTACATTTATTAATTTCTTGGTTTTGGGGTATATTTTTATACATTTTGTTTCTGTTGTGGCAGGTGCCTGCATCTATTAACTGTCGGTTGCTTGCGCATCAAAGAGAGGGAGTCAAGTTTTTATACATGTTATACAAGAACAACCATGGGGGCGTACTTGGTGATGATATGTGAGTACCTTACTTATACCAACATTTTTATCACTCTTTATGTTATTTTTTAATTGTATATTTAGTTTGTCTTCACAAAAATACTTGTTCTTGGCGTGAATGCTTTTGCTTTTTCAGTAAGGCCTAGTTTAGCATTGCTGTTAAAAGAAGGTTTTGCATTCAAAAGGTGCTTTTGATGCAATCTCAATGGTAAACAACAACAACAACAACAACAAAAAAAAAAGGTGGCTTTTTAGTCTGAAAGCTTGATTTTCAAACACAAACAAAAACTCTTCAAGAGGTGCTTTTGCAGTAAAATAGTGTGTTTGGGATAGAAAATCATTATATTATCCCTATATTTCTAGTATTTTATTATTATTATTATTATTATATGCATATTGTTTTAGACATTTCAATTACTCACAATATTTTTTCACAATAATACCAAATGCTTAAAATTTCTAACCGCACTTTTTAAACACACTTTTCCCAAGCCATCTGTTTCCAATAGTAAAAGCAATGCTAAATTAGCCCTCAGTGTATTGGTTTTCATATATTATCAGTACCTTATAGCTTCTATAATGGAACCCAATATTGTTCCATGATCTTGTTTTATGTCAGTTTTAAATTCTTACCTATGTAGTCTTCTAACAATTATGACATACATGTTAAAATGAGTTGCATGTGCTTATGTCATGAATGTGGATGGTAGCAAGAACCTATAAATAAACATTCGTTGCAGAGGAATGTAATAAGTGAGAACTTAGAGCACTTGATGATCACCTTAGGGTCCTTAATTTTTGTGTGATAGCTTGGTTTTTTAATTTTCCCACACAAGTGTTTTTTGGTGTTCTTCTTTCTTTTTTATTTTTATTTTTTGTTTTACTTCTTAAAAGACAAGTCAATGGTTTTAGGTGAGCTTTATGTAGTGTGCATTTGTTTAGGAGCACCCTTTTTTAGAAGGAATAATAGTTCATTTTTTACCTTTCCAAAAATTTAACTCAGGGGACTAGGCAAGACAATCCAGACAATAGCATTTCTTGCTGCAGTATATAGAAAAGACCAGGAATATGGTGACTCCAAAACATTGAAAGAAAAACAGGTTGGACCGAAAGGCCCTGTATTAATAATCTGTCCCAGTTCTGTCATCCACAATTGGGAGTGTGAATTCTCTAGATGGGCGACCTTTATTGTTTCTGCTTACCATGGTTCAAACCGTGAATTAATTCTTGAGAAGCTACAAGCCAATGCAGTTGAGGTTCTGGTTACTAGTTTTGACACTTTTAGAATTCACGGCATTGTTTTGTCAGAGATCAAATGGGAGATTGTGATTGTTGATGAAGCACACCGTCTAAAAAATGAAAAATCAAAACTCTATACAGCATGTTCAGAAATTAAGACTTGCAGACGTATTGGCCTTACAGGAACCATCATGCAGAACAGAATTATGGAACTCTTCAACCTCTTTGACTGGGCTGCTCCTGGATCCTTGGGGACAAGGGAACATTTTCGGGAGTTTTATGATGAACCTCTCAGACATGGCCAGAGGTCAACTGCTCCCGAAAGATTTGTTCGGGTTGCTGGTAAGCGTAAACAGCACCTCGTAGCAGTTCTTCGTAAATATATGCTAAGAAGGACGAAAGAGGAGACTATTGGACATCTTATGTTGGGAAAGGAAGATAATGTTGTGTTTTGCGCCATGAGTGAATTGCAGAAACGGGTGTATGGGAGAATGTTGCAGCTGCCAGACGTCCAATGTCTTATTAACAAGGACCTACGCTGTAGCTGTGGAAGCCCTCTTACCCAAGTGGAATGTTGTAAGAGGATTGTGCCTGAAGGAATTATGTGGCCTTACCTTCACAGGGATAATCCAGAAGGTTGTGACTCATGCCCTTTCTGCCTTGTCCTTCCTTGCCTTGTCAAGCTGCAACAGGTCAATGATTTTTTTCTTTAATTTTAATGTTTATTCTTAAATGAAAACTCTTAAGTTTGTTTAGGCAATCTACAAAAGCTCCTAGTCAATTGTTTGAGAGGAGAACATCTGCTACATTTAGACTCAGAAAAATGTTTGTAATAGTTACCTGATAATTTTTTTTTTGAAGTAGGAAGTAGAATCAAAGCTTATATGGCATAAGGATTAAGGTGCCAAGTAGGATGAAATAATTAATTTTGTCAATTATCAGTTCAATATAGGAAACAGTGAACATTGCCAGAAGGTGGAGAAGATATGTTATGATTGATGTATATATTTGTAGATTCTTACAGTTTATGCAGACCATTCAAATTTTTATTGCTGATAAATCAGTGCAATTTAGGAACCTTTTGACTAAAAAATCGTACCAGCTCTGTTTAACAGTTGTATTTTCCTTGAAATTCTATCACATTTTTGTATCAGAATCTAGGAAATTTCTCAACAGGCATCTCATGGAGTCATTAAGCAATAAGCCATCCCTTTTGTTGCATTGACTTCAGATTCAAAACCACAAGCCTTGCAGTCTTCAAAACATATACCAAGTCATCATTTTCAAAAGCTGTTTTGTGGCGCATTGGATTGTAATTTTACCTATTTAGTATGCCTTAGTCTGACATGTGGAAATCCTTTATTTATCTTGAGCATTTGGCATTAAAGAGAGTAAACTTTTTGCATAAATCTTGAACATGAGTTTTGTTGCATGGCTCTGGATCGGTCTCATGCTTACCCTTGGATCTTTACTGTAGATAAGCAATCACTTGGAGCTTATTAAGCCTAATCCTAGGGATGAACCAGATAAACAAAGGAAAGATGCAGAATTTGCCTCTGCTGTCTTTGGTCCAGATATTGATATGGTGGGAGGGAATGCCCCAAGTGAGAGCTTTATGGGTTTAAGTGACACTAGACATTGTGGCAAGATGAGAGCGTTGGAAAAGCTGATGTCTTCTTGGGCTTTGAAGGGAGACAAAATCCTTCTTTTTAGCTACTCTGTTAGGTAATGTTCTTATCTCATACTTAACTACTTAGGTATTTTCCAAATTTTGAATTGTGAGATTGCTAGACCATGACTTCTGGACTCTATGTCCATTTCTTGTGCTTGACTCAATATGCTAGCCAAATTCAAAATTTTGTGAAATATTTTAAGATTGGCGAAAATCCTTATATTAATGTACGTGTGTCCTGAAGACAATTTTTTTTCATTCCATATCTTTTTCTTGAGCAGGAAGTAATAAAGAAAACATTTTCCCATATAAATACAAGGAAAACAATTTTTGTTAACGATTTTTATAATAATTTGTCTTTACTCTTTCTTTTTAAATTAAATTAAGTTCAACAGTCAAAATTGTTTCATGTGCAAATGTTGTGAAAAGTTGCAGAGACTGCAAACCCTCATTTTAGCATTTCATCTTATAAAATTGAGATGGAGTCAAGATTTCCTTTTAAGGTAATTTAATCTTCAATAAGGGATAGGCTAAAAGGATAGGTTGTTTGATGCACTAAGCTTGTTGTCATTTTAATCAAGTATATGAAAGGACTTTTTTTTTAAATTTTTGGTGGTATGGTACACTATTTCATAGCAAAATTTGTTCATAAAGTTGAGAGTTTGGTTTTTGAACATTTGAAGGGTGAATGATTTATCATATGCATCTATCCTGTCACTTTCGCTATTCTTTTCCTTTTTTGCTCATTGCATTAAACAACAATCTTCAGGATGCTCGATATATTGGAAAAGTTTCTCATACGAAAAGGTTATTGCTTTTCAAGACTTGATGGATCTACTCCAACCAACATGCGCCAGTCTCTTGTTGATGAGTTTAACTTGAGTCCCAGCAAACAAGTATTTGTCCAGTTATCTTGAATACAAGTTTAGTAGGCTTGTTATTTGAATTTTCATTTCATTTTGTCTTTCTTTTGGTTTCAGGTGTTCCTTATATCAACCCGAGCTGGTGCACTTGGATTGAATCTTGTAAGTGCTAATCGTGTGGTTATATTTGATCCAAATTGGAACCCGGCCCAAGATTTGCAGGCACAGGACAGATCATTTCGTTTTGGGCAGAGGCGCCATGTTGTGGTTTTCCGCCTTCTTGCAGCCGGTTCCCTTGAAGAACTTGTATATTCACGTCAGGTGTATAAACAGCAGCTATCAAACATTGCTGTCTCTGGGAAAATGGAAAAAAGATACTTTGAAGGCGTGCAGGTATAGATATGGGATTTTTTGTGTGGCTAAACTACTCTACAGTGATTTGACTAGGTTTTATATCTTCCCTACATTGTTGCAATGTTACCTCATCATTAATAGTAAGGATATATTGAACTTGTGGCTGCATTTGAGATGTGAAATGGTCTCAGGCATTCCATCTGACATCTATCTTGTTTTCAGGACTCTAAGGAATTTCAAGGCGAGCTATTTGGAATCTGCAATCTGTTTCGTGATCTTTCAGATAAACTTTTTACTAGTGAAATTCTTGAATTACACGAAAATCAAGGGCAACAGCATGCAGAACACCTTAGTGATAATAACAAGGAATTGACCGAACTAGGTGCCCTTCCGATTCCATCAGAAGGAAGTGAAACATTTTCTGCGGTGTCCAAGAATTTGCATCCCAGAGCTATAGAGAGGGCTGATACTGATAAACCAGTCCTTGAAGACTTGGGTATATTCATTTTACTTGCTTGTTTTTCCCTCTGTTTCTGTTTCCATTTAGACAATGGCTTAAAGTTCCATTCATATTTGATCGTTTCTTTCATGGAATGTTTTATCATTCTTTTCACATGGCATAGAGAGGAAAACGAATGGTTGTAGTTGTAATTAGATTTTGTTTTGAGTTAACATGCATGTGTAGTTTTCTTGAGTTAACTTGCAGTTTAGCTTTCTTTGTGTTTTGACTTTTACAAGCCAACAACAAAATGTGCGATAGCATATGTTACTTGAAAGAAGCTACATATTTGAATACGTGCATTTCACATGGATTTGGCATTAACTCGGATAATAAAAATGATGATGGAGAGAGAGAGAGAGAGATCTTAAAGAAACCAACTCTTGAAAATCTCATTCTCTTTATTTTCAGGTATCTTATATGCCCATCGTAATGAAGACATTGTCAACAGTAGACCTGGGATTCAACAGAAAATAATAGTCGTTACTGAGGATGATAACCTGAGAAGAGATGCAAATGTTTCATGGAAGAGGAAATCAGATGGGAAGGAAAATGTTGTCTCAACCAGGGAATGGAAAAAGATCCAATATGGTCGCCTAGCAGAGTTCAAGGGCATGGGAGTGCTTGAGTTCAGTAGGTGGGTACTCTCTGCTACTCCTTGGGAGAGGAAGAGTGTGCTTCTGGACTACAAAAGAAGAAAAAAGGATACATCTAATGGTTGAACTGTGTGTCGGCAAGCCCACTCGCAAACTTGTAAAGAAAACAGATTGCCCAAAATCTTAATTTCCTTTCCCCCTTATTTCTAGTATAGGTCTAACCAGAATGTACATATGGGCAGTAGGGCTAATTACACAACTGAAGTGGCTAATACAAATGTAAATGTGTATTATAATCAATAATTTTATTTACTTTCCCTCTAATTTTCACATCACCGAGGCTCTTTTTACTTCTTTGTTCCCAATACCATTGTTTTACGATGTAAGTACAGTAAAAACTAGCACCCACCATGTCAAAGCGGTTTAGGCAACAGTGTTCAAGCATTTGGAAATTGTATACGTACTCTTTTTCAAGAAGTTAAGATTTGAATCTCCTTTTTTCTCGAATCAAAATGAAGAAAAGGTAATTAAAGATCCTTGACCTTTGTATAGTACGTTTTTTTTCTGATCAATTCAAGCAAGTTTATGCATATATGAATTCATGAAAAATTACCTTACTTCATCCTCCCAAAAGATTTAAACCAAGCAAAAAAAAAAGCTCTTGGACACTTAATCATGGTAAATGTAGTTATTAAGCCATTATCCCAATAACTGAAAAGTGTGCTAAGAGTATGATGTGGACTTGTAAGAAACTTACAATGTTCATGGTTAATCATTTCAATAGTTGCTATTTACAGATGCTTAATACAACCTTAGCTATTGCATAAAGCATGAAAATTTGGAAAAGGAGGAAAAAAAAACCTAAATTCCTTGCATTTCCTAGAAATTTAAGCACTCTAAATAAAACTTTCATCCTACAATTGGGATCTGGAATTAGTTATGGTATGATCATATCATACCATGACATAAAGCCAAGTCATATGCATAAGTGAAAAGTTTTCATTTTGATATTCTATTTGCGTACAAGTGTCTGTGTAGCTGGTCAAAGTAGGAGAGAGATTACATTTCCTGCATTTCCATGTTTCCTAACCACGTGAAACTACTTCCTTTGCATTTTAAATCTAGACACCGGCTTTGAAGCTTGGGAACCAGAAAGCTGCAGAAGACAAAAATATTGCAATAAGGATTTGAAGCAAGTGAATCTAATACTTAAATTGCTACATACTCACAAGGATTTTTAAGCACAATACCTGTGATGAAGTGGTATTTTGTCCTGGTAAATTTTTCTCCAAATTCTGAGTATGCTCTACTATTGAGCCGGTGAAAGCCTGCACACAAAGTAAATCACAATGGATAAAGGCACATAAACAACATCCATTATGCCCATTACAAAGTAACTAAAAAATTAGAGGGAGTATACCTTGGAACTATTAAATTCTGATTTTGAGGTCTGGACAGATTTCTGTAACACCAAATTGGAGTTAAAAAGATGGTTAATAGCCCTATCATTGGTGATCTTGCATGTATTAATACAATTTAGAGAAGATGAAATTCAAAACAAAATCTTTTTTTTTTTTTTAAGCTCAAAATAAAATCATTGATGTTATGTAAAGATCTATTCCAAAATAACATAATTGAATGTTGTTTTTGTCATTTTTCCTTCTACAAAAGACCCCCTCCTCAAAGGCCAGGATGCCAACCTTAGAAAGCATAAGTGAACTCTTTGAAAAAGCAGTTCGTTGTGCATGATATCTTCCAAATTTGAATATTCAAAAAAGAATGCCTTGTAGCAATCAAGATCAAGGATGCAGATAAAGAAGCAAAAAGCATCAAGGGGGAGAAAGGCTTGAAGAGATGCTGCTATATTAATACTACAGAGTTCAAATATAAGCTACAGACACCTCTTTTTGTGATGAATGTTCTGCTTCAAACTCACCTTCTTTTCAAAAGGCACAGATGCATTTATGGAAGGATTTAAAATCTTTGTCTCTTGAGGTATAATTTGACTGTGTGACATGTCACCTGAATAAGATAAAATAAAGGAATTGTCCCATCGATAAATCAAACTTGAAACATATTTACTTCTATTGGTAGATATGACAAGATATTTTCTCTTCCCTTATTGAGTTTACATGATTGACTACATGCACAAGTCAGAAACATACACCACCATAGTTACCTTTGGTAACAGGTTCTACTGTCAATCCCGTACGCTGCATTATGAAATACACAAAAATCAGTGATACAAGCAAAAATTAATTCAGGACGTTGATTACCAGTATGCGAGAAATATTAACAAAAAAAGGCTAAAAGAAAAAGAAAGTATACAAAGATATAATCAATTACAGCTAACTGATTAGTTAAATCTTGATGATGATATTTATTAGACATCTCTTCATCCATTGGATCTTTGCCTTTTGAGTGCTGTAGTGGTTTCCTTGACTGAGACTGATATACCTATTTCAAAAGTGACAGGAGAAATCATTCAAAGTATAATTGTATTCAACAGGTAAAAAACACCAAGTCTCAACATTACCTCTGAATATCTTTGATAATGATCAAGAGAACTATAACCTTCATCCTTTTTTCCATGAAAAACAGCTTTAGTTTGCTCATCTTCATCACCATCACTTTCAGCAGCATTAGCATCCTGATATTCATCATTCTCTCCATAATTTTCGGCTGCAAGTTCTTCTTTCTCAAGTTCTTCCAACCTTGACATTATACGAGCATAATCATCATCCTCAGATGCACCCATTGTATTGTCTGCTTCTGCAAAACTAGGAGATTCTTGCTGCAGCTGACCTGAAAAGAAAAAGTTTTGTCTAACTTATAATCCTCAACTTCAGAAAAATAACCGATAACCATTTTATCCTAATCAATTAAGAATAAAAGTAGCAAACATCAGATAGGTAGGCTGCCTGATAACCAGTACCTTGGCAATAAAAAATCTAGAAAAATAGAAATGAGCAAGACATTAACCCAACATGTTAAAGAGATGGTTAAATGCCCACTGTGTTAAAGAGATATTGCAAGCAACAGGCACTCCAACTAGGTTTGTATAAAACATAATTCAGAATCAGGTTGCTCAAGTATCATCTTTACTATATCAAGTAGACTCCAAAGTTTCAATACCAAGCAAGTGAACGAAAAGCAAAGAAGAAGTTGCGAGAACCTGCCTGATTGAGATACCCTTTCAGTAGAATTCTCCCCCTCGTACTCTTCTCTAATCTCCACAATACCCTCCTGTAACAACGGAATCATAGTAATAGGTAAAGACTAGGTACAAAAAAGAAAACATAGTAATGCCTAATTTAACTAATCAACAAACAAAAGAAAAGGAGATTGGGAAACTTACTGCTGCTTCATAAGCGGTGGAGTCAAAAAAGGAAGCCTCAGCTTTAAGATCCTGCATCACGGCCTTCAACACATCCACTTTAGACTCCAATGACTTCCCTCTTCTCTTTAGAATTTCAACAGTTTGTTTAGCTGTTCTTTCCGCATAGTAACTCTCTCCCAGTAGGACCTGCAATGAGTTCTAACTTTTCTAACTTCAATCGAGCTCCTAATTTAGTGTAAATAGAAACTATACCAGAAGCCGATTATCCTTGAATCGGTTGGCAAGTCATTGGAGTTGGCATTTGGAAATTGCGGATTCAAAAGAACTTATGTGCGTAATATCTCTTCAGCCATATAAGTACTAGGGTAAAAGGGATTTAAGGGTAGATTAGAAATTGAAAAAAAAAAAAAAAACTATACCAGAAACTCGTTCGTGTGAATCAAACGACCAGGAAAGAACGCCGCTTTCCCAAACGGAACCTGAAAAAAGATAACCAAATAACCCTTTTTTTTTTTTTCAAAATATGAAAAGAAAAGAATAAGGCACAAAGTAAAATCGATTGGTTGCAAATGGATATGCTTGCCATAATATCGTGGTGGAGTTCGTCGGGGAGCTTTTGGACAAGGTTGATGAGGGAGGTGTTATCGGCGATGAATTCACTCAATTGATTCATTTCATTCTGCTTCTCTGAAATCGTCTCCACTACTCGCTTTGCCGCCTTCTGCGCTTCCTCCGCCGGGAACATCGATGACAGCGCCGTCACCGTGCCTTTCACTTCTGTCTTTCCCATAGTTATTTATTTATTTATTTTGCAAAAGTTTTTGAACCGTGAGAGTTGAAGACAGTGTGCCTCCGCCTCCTATTGTTTTTTTTTTTTTTTTAAATTTTTTGACCTCTTTGGACGGAGAAGAGAGCGGCCAAAAGACTGCAGTAGAAAATGAGTTTAGATGTTATAACACTGCGAGGCATGGGTTGAAAAAGCTTACAGGAAAAAAGGGTTTAAAACTAAAATAAAAATGGGTTAAAAATTTTAAATGTTTTAATATTGTTGTAAAAAAAATTGTGATTAATTGAAATATTAAAAAATATATAAAATAAAAAAAAATTCAGAGAAATAAGGATAATAAAATTATTTTATTCATAAAAATTATAATTAATTCTAAAATTTTTTTTTAAAATTTTTTTTATTTAGATTTGTAAATCAAAATTTTAAATAAAAAATCATATTTTTAATGTTTAGCATTACAATAGAATAAAAATAACTTTTAAACACAAATATCACTTTTTCAGATATTGTTGAAAAAACAATTAAATTTCACACTGTTATAACATATCAATTATATGAAGTTGTCGTCAATAAGATACGATTGATCATTTAATCAAATTTATCTTCTTTTAAAAAGATTTTTTGCATAGTTTAACTTTTTTAAAGTAATAAATTCTAGAATACAAAATAAAGTTAGGTTAGAGAGTATGAAGGTTATAGCATCATCATGCCTATCAAAAGATAGTATCAACTATTTTTGTATTATCCATAAACCTTAAAAATAATTATACGTATTGAAAAATATTATTAACTAACTTCAATATTTTGACAGAAATTTAAGAGAATTTTTTTATTTCAGAATATAAAAAAAATTATTTCTTTTAAAGAGGTTTCGTTGTTGGAAAGTTTAAAATTTTATTTTATTTTTCATGAAATTTCAAAAAATTTTAGTCTCAAAGAAAAATTGATATTTTAACTTCTTCCTTAACATTTAAAATTATTTTCACTTTAAGGAAAATTTGATATTTTAAAATTTTAGTTGAAAATTTGAAATTATTTTAGTTTTGAGAAACAATTGATATTTCAATTTTTTCTTAAAATTTTGAAATTATTTTCATTTAAAGGAAAATTTAATATTTCAATTTTTTCTCAAAATTTGAAATTATTTTTATTTTAAAGAAACTTTGATATTTCAAAATTTTCTTTAATTTGGAAATCATTTTTATTTTAAGGACAAATAGATACTTCAACTTTTTTTCTTTAATTTTGAAATCATTTTTATTTTAAGGAGAAATTGATATTTCAACTTTTTCTTTTCATTTTTGATATTATTTTAATTTTAAGAAAATTTTGATATTTTAACTTTTTCCTCAATTTTAAAATTATTTTTATTTTAAAAAATTTGATATTTTAACTCTTTTCCCAAAATTTTGAAATAAAAAAAAAAAAACTCACTTAAAATATGATAATTAAATAAATAGACAAAATAATCATAAAATTACCAAAAAAAATCTAGGCTCGATTTGGCTACTAGAGAACAACTCGGTTGTAGGCACAAAAGTTGGCTAAAGACTTGGTGGCTCAACTACGTGGATAGCTTGGCTTCAGCTTTAATAGAATAGTGAATTATTGGGTCACATGGTAGGATTGCATTGGTTTCTTGGGGCAACACATGGATCTTCTAGTTTTATATTGCCTAAAACAACATCATTTTTAACAAATATAAAAGCCTAAAAAATTTCTTTTATTTGCAAATTTTTTTTCTCGCCTTTTTCTCCCTCTTCCCAAATGCTCCTCATGCTCTCTACTTTTTCCATATTTTGATTACTGGAATCTTCAAGTCTCATTGGCAAATTCATTAGAATCTGGGATTTTTACCAAAATCCAGGTTTTTCATCAAAAAACTAATTGGAATTTGGGTTTCTTGCTAAAAAATTTGTCAGGAACTTTAAATTTGATCCAAAAATTTGTCAAAAAACTAGAATTTTCCAAAAAAAAAAAATCCAGAATAGAAAAAAGGTCAAATTTTGATCTGTTTTCTTTTCTTTAAACTTTAATTCTTTTGAACACCCTCTTAAATCAAATCTAAACTCTAATAAACTCCTTAATAAATAAAAAAAAAACCCTCTATCACAGAACAAAATTTTTTCTCACTACTTATTACTTATCCACTTCTTCGTGTTTTATTTGTCTTTGTTTCACTGCTAAATGCAAGTCTATTTATACAAAAAATTATGACAGTTCTAGCTCAATTAGGATTAGATTTGTTTTTAAAAAAATTAAGGATTACCCTTAGGGGTAATCCTAAATTGCTTCTAACTAGTATTATCATTAAGAGATAACTTTAACCAAATTTCTAAAAGTAAATTCTTTTGGTTTTTTTCTTCCATTTTTTATCTCTTAGATTTTTTTCTTGAAATAATCAAATAATTGAGGATAAAAACAAAATAACTAAAGATAAACAAAGATAAAATAGAATACAAATAAATAAAATTAAAAAGGATAAAATAAAAATTCCAAAATTCAACAATTGGGCTTGAAAAGATCCGAGCCCAACCAGTTTGAGCCCTATAGTAAATATGATGTCTACATTTTCCTATTTTTGCACAATTTTTGTAAAATAAGAATTACACAAAGATATAGATATCTATTACATTTAGATCCAAATTATTAATTTTTTTTTTTTACGAAAGGCTTCTCAAAATAAGGCATACCACTATTAGAAATCAAAGGCTCTTTAAATACGAAGACATGCAACTTTAAAAATTAAGGGCTCCTTCAACACAAATGCACATAACTTTAAAAATTAAGGCTTCTTCAACATAAAAATACACAACTTTAAAAAGTAAAGACTCTTTCAACTTGAAAGCATACAATTTAAAAAATTAAGATGATACCCAAAGGTTTTGACGATCATGCTTGAAGGTCTTATTGATCATGTCTAAAGCAATTAGAGATTATGCTTGGAGGTCTTACAAATCATTTTTAACATTGAAAAATGCTCATTTAGAATAAAAGCTCTACAATTTTAGAATTTTTAAAAATCTTTCTTAACCATAGTTGATTCTCTTAAAATGTCTATTCTTTAAAAAATTGAATTCTTACCTCAAAAGTTTATTTCCAATTGAAAATTTGAAAATTTTTCTCTAAAATTTTCCTTAACTGAGGAACCAAAACTTCATATTTGCTTTCTCTATGCTGGGTCTTATAATATCAATATTTTCTAAATGCATGTGTCAAATGTTCTTAAATGCAATGCATGTAATGTGAATGTCAATTAATGCATTTTCAAGTATGATACATAGATTCTTAAGATTTTTTTCCTTTGGCTTTCAAGCTTTTCAAGTCTTGGGCAATGAGAACAAAACCAAATTGATCTTTAATCATCCCTTTCATTCAATGTTGACCCTCATATCTTTCTTTTTCTGAAACTTTTCCTTTTTATCTCAAAAGTCAATGTCCTTACTAGGGCTTGAATATTTCATTTATGCTTTTTTCACTTTCAACTTTTCTAAGGTAATGTAAAAATCTTTCATGTCATTATTCATTTATCAATCATTATTTAAATTTCAAGATATATAAAATGTAATCATACATTTTTTTTTATTTAATGCAAGGTATTAAGAAGAAAAAGAGAATGAATGGAATGAAAATGAAATATAGGCATTAAAAGGAAAAGAGAAGGAATGAAATGAAAAATGAAATATCTTTTATTTGAAAAGAAATAATGGGACAATTTTGGCCACTAGATAATGTAAAGGAAAAAATTACAAAGATAGATACCTAGGACAATAATTAGATAATCATGAAAACGCATCTTGCATTATTTTTTAATAACTCAATCACATGATGCTTTTGACACCTTAGAACTCATCAAACTACACTAGCCCTTATGTTGGCTAATTTTTCAGTTGATGCTATACTCTCCTCACCTAAGTCACCCTTTCAGGTTTGCAGCTTAAACAAACCCCATTTTGACTCAAACTGTCCTTTTGGATTTTTTATTTAAGTTTTTATTTATTTCTTTTATTATTTTTTTAAACAAAGTATTTTTTTCACAATATCAAAGTTTATGGGATTAGGCAAATCATCTCCATCCATTTTTGTCAAGATTAGTGCTTTGCCTTAAAAAACCTTTTTCACAATATACGAACCTTTCTAATTCAACATCCACTACCTTTCTACTATCATGTTGGCTTGGAAGAATTCTTTTCAAAGCCAACTCCTTTTCTAAAAATGACAAAGTTAGACCTTCTTGTCATGAGCTCTCATTATCCTTTTTTGATATAGCTGACTATGATAAAGTGTTGTGAACCTATTTTTTTTAATAAAATTTAATTGTTCATAGTGTTCTTAGGTCCATTCAACATTTTCTAACCCAACTTCCCTCAAGACTTTTAAAAATGGGATTTTCACTTTTACTGGTAACATAACTTTCATCCCATAAACCAAAGAAAATAGAGTTGCCTTAGTAGAACTATATATTGATGTCTGATAAGCATGCAAGGCACAAAGTAACTTCTCATGCCAATCTCTATAAGTTTTGATCATCTTTTTCAAAATCTTTTTAATATTTTTGTTTGTAACTTTGACTACCCCATTTATCTTTGGACAATATAGTACTGAATTATGGTGCTTAATCTTAAACTGGGCATACATATCCATTTTTTTACTATTCAGGCTATTGGCATTATTAGAAATGATCCTCTTTGGGAGTTCATATCTATAGACTATCTCATTTTTTTTTAATTTACAGACCATAAATTATGTCACATTTCCATATGAGGTTGCCTCTATCCATTTTGTGAAATAATCTATCAGTATAAAAAATAAATATATGCCCATTTGAAGCCTTCGAGGTAATAGGACTAATAACATTCATGCCCCACATAAGAAAAAATAACCATAGTGGTGCCAAAACATATAAAACAATAAGCGAAGCATAGATCTTATTATCATAGATTTGGCACTTATGATATTTTTTAGCATAATTGATGCAATCATTCTCCATTGTCAACCAATAATATCAAGTTCTCATGATCTACCTAACCATTATATGTCCATTTACGTGTATCCCACATATGCCATTATGCATTTTCTCAAGAATTTTTTTTGCTTTAATAACATTTAAGCATCTCAATAGCACTTAATCTTGGCTTCTTTTATAAAGAACATTCCCATCCAAAAAGAAACC